CCCAGAACTTCACCCATGCTTGGCAAGCACTCTACCACCAAGCTATACCCCCTCAACTGTTTTTGGTGATGCAGGTTTGTTTGATGTGACTGTCAAAAATCAAATATTAATGTAAACAAATCCGGCAAGGTATTTTCCCTTTCTAGTATTAATTTCTCCTCTTTATACCACCTCATCAGGAGCTAAGATCTAAGCTGATAAGAATCCCTAATGTTTTTGTCCATTGATGCTGCAGCAGAATTTTCTGTTTATATTATACTTCAAAACTGCAGTATCATGCTGGCTTATTAAGTGTATTTACTAAGGCTAGATCAATATGTAGGAAAAAGTTTTCATGAAAGGCATAAAAATCATAGGCTCCAGGTATGTTCTAATGAATGTGTCCAGGGAATTCCTTCCAAATCATATCCCTGGCAATGTAGTTTTCTTCAAGTACATAAAATTGCCTTTTCATTTGAAGAATTTTCAGTTGTTAAGGACCAAAATATTTGTTGTTGTTGTTGTTGTTTGTTTACAATAACAGGAAATACCTCTCCTTGAAGAACATTTTAGGTCTGACACATTAAAAAAAAAAAAAAAAAAAAAACAACTCTCCTTACTGCCACCTTGTGGACAGAGATGATATCTTCAGAGAGCACATAGGAACATATCTTAGTATTGCCACAAGATGGCAGCACATAACCAAGCTTTCAAAAAAAGAGACAGGTATACAAGATTTGAGGTCTCAGACTGTTCTGCTCCTACAAAAGATGAAAAGTGAGGAATAATAGTATGAAATAACCATTCTATTTTCTTTTCCTAAATACAAACAGAATTTCAAATTTTTATGTCTTCAGTATTTCAAAATTTATTTCAGGAAAAAAAGAAGTGTCAAAAATTTAACTTATAACTTATTTGTATTTCTAAAATATTTTAAGGAGAAATTGAATTCTCCCTGAATTTTTTCTGATAATAATTTCTTTATAGAGTGAAGTACTTGAGAATGTTTTTAAATCTTTATTTTATGTAGGTCTTTGTAATCAATTGTAAAATATCTGCCTCTAACATATCATCTAGAGGTTACAACCCATTCCAGTGACTGGGTCATTGGGGCACATTGCCACTTCTACTCTGAACAAAGTTCTGCCTGAGCTATCTGCTTTTTGTCACTTTTTTGTGTGTGTGTCCCTAGTGTTTTGTGTATCCTAGTGCCACAACAGATTTATTTTTATGTGTACGCTCTTGATGTTTTAGAATTGCACTATCATGGCTTAATTTATTGGGATATCTTTTTCTCTTGCCACAGAAATTGCACTAATAATCCTCTGTAGAAGATATTTTACCATAGAACTGGTAATAATATCTCTATGTAAGCACTTACTAGGTGTCTGGCACCATTCCAAGAAGAGCATATAGATTAATTTATCTAATCCATGACACAGATTTCTAAGGGTCAAATTTACTAAACTCATTTTACAGAAAATGAAACTGAGGAAACAAGAGGGTAAGAGATGCTTTCTAGCTTAAGCAGAATCATTGGCCTCCCTGCCTGACCCAGTTCCTGCACAATCCCTTGACATTTGTTATGTTTGGATATGAGGTGTCTCCCAAAAGCTCATGTGTGAGACAGAGCAAGAATTTTCAGATGTAAAATTATTAGATCATGGGAATTCTGACTTATCAGTGGATCAATTCACTGATATGGATGAACTGGTTGGTTAAGAGTAGGCAGGTAGGGTATGGCTGGAGGAAATAAGTCTCTAGGGGTGTGACTTTGGGGTTTTTAGTTTGTCCCTGGTGAGCAGAGTTCTCTCTGCTTTCTAATTACCATGGCCTGAGCTGCTTTCCTCTGACAGACTCTTCCACCATAAAGTTCTGCCTCACCTGGACCTAAGAGCTATGGATTTGACCCATCATGGACTGAACCTCTGAAATTGTGAGCCTAAATAAACTTTCCCTCCTCTGAATTGTTCTGATTAGCTCTTAAAAGCTGACTAAAACAATATTGTTTCCACTGAAGCCTGTGGAGCTAAGAGAGAGCATGGGGAACTTGGTGCTCTTTATCTGAAAAAGGTTCCATTGAGGATTTAGGCCCCTTTGGGTAAAGATTATCAATCTGTTACCTGAATGATCCCTATAAATTCTCAAGAATACTAAGACAAGAGTTTTGGCCCAAGAAAGGAGAGCTGCACTTTGCACAAGAGCAGACCCTTTTTGTCCAGTATTGCATCATTCAAATGTCCCAGCAATACTGCTAGAGTTATAGAGGGCTTGCTTTTTTTTTTTTTTTTTTTTTGGTACCGGGGAATGAACTCAGGAACATGCAATCACTGAGCCACATTTTGTATTTTATTTAGAGACAGAGTCTCACTGAGTTGCTTAGCGCCTGGCTTTTTGCTGAGGCTGGCTTTGAACTCAGGATCCTCCTGCCTCAGCCTCCGGAGATGCTGAGGGATTACAGGCTTGTAACACCACTCCCAGCTGAGGCCTCGTTTTATAGAAAAAATATCAGAGGGTATGAGAGAAAAGTGTACTCGGTTCTAGTTAGAGAACTGGGAGTAGTGAATTTCAGTCCCAGTTCTGCCTTTTGCTATCTGTGTGATCTGGGCCTCAATTTCTTCATACTAACATGAGCACATTCTCAGCTGTGCCTTTCCAACAATTTTGAAGGAAATATGTTAATTTCAAAGTAAAGGTGTCAAAAAGGTATGAAGAAAGAAAAATTAGTGGGAGTATGTTTGAAATACAGTTGAAACGTTTGTGGTTGGATGATGAGACCTACAGAGAAGGCTGTCAATATCAGACATCAGTATTCTATATATTGAGAGATCCTGGCTTCCCATTCCAGGGTACTTATGGCAACCATTGCTGGCTTCTGCCAGGGAAGGACAATTCTTACTCAGTCCTGTATGAACTTGCCTTGTGTTGCCTCTGTCAACTGGAATATCTTCAAGTAGCATAGTTCAAGGTCAGAAAAGCAGATGCTAACATATTTGAACATCTTCAAAGCTCCACCAGTAATCACAATACAGAAAAACATCCTCTTCCACGTCTGGCCAGTTTAGGGAAACTGTCCTTACCTGCAGACACCACCAGCTCTTAGGAACTGTGAGTCTGGCTGGCACCAGTTTTGCTAATGGCACACTGTAGCCAAACACTTTCAGACTTGAGACACTAGGACAATCTTGCTGTTCTTTATAGTTATCATAAGAATGCCAGAAAATATTACACTTCTGTGACCTACTTTGGATGGACAGATGAAAAATGTATGAGGAAGGAGATTCATAGGTTGCACTGAACCTTGGAGTCTTTACAGACCTGGTCTCTCAGTGCTAAATCAGTATAAATAATTTAGCTCCTCAGATTCCCATGTTTTTAGGTTAGGAGGATGTTTGGCATACATTTGTTCTTCTCATGCTTCAGAGACTCTAGATCTTCTGTTTTTGGACCTCTGTGCATTCAGTGTGTCCTTCATGCACTGGCTTGATTACAACAGCCCACAACAGCAGACACAGCCCCTGCCTCTGGGGACTCAATGTCCAGTGGGGAAGACAGACATTAATCAAAGCATTAGACAAGCACATTTGGAGTTGAGTGAAGTGCGTACTATGACAGGAAGCAGAACTTATAATAAAGCTTTGTCGGGGAGGTCAGGGAAGACTTTTCTGTGGAAGCGAGAACCCAGTTCTGAAGGAGGCGTGAGATTACTAGTGGAGATATCACTGGGCCATAAGCCCGATGGCAGAGAAAATATCGTGTCAGAGAGAACACAGGAGAGAGCTGGCAAAATGATAGATTTAAATGAGACTGGAAGACAGGGGTGCTAAGGAGAGCCATAGGAGCCATGATAAGGATTTTGATCTTTACCCTTGAAGCCATAAGAAAGCTTGAACAAATTTCAAGCAGCACTGCAGGGTGACCAGATGTCCAATTCAAACATCTTTCTCTGGCTGAAGAGCCCATCACTTTCCATCTTTAGTGAAATCATGTTACTCGGTTGTACAGGGCTATCTCCTGAGGTTCACAGAGAACAATATCTGGGCCCTACCGCCAGTTTTGGCTACTATAGCTAAATAATCATTAAGTCGATCCTCAGATTCAAAGGGATAAGGAAATGTTACATATTTACTTCTAATGATGCCAGATTATTTTGGGTTATTTGATAAAGATACTTAAAAGGGAATCCAAAAATTTGACCCCTATGATCTGATTTAACCTTGACATTTATGGACACATGCAACAAATATTTATTGACACCTGCTGCACACCAGGGTCTAGTCTCAGCATTATGGATTCAGTGGCTAACAAGACATACACTGTGCTGCCCTTGGGGAGCATGTATCCTAACAGAGGAGACACACCATAAACCAGCAGAGAAGGAAATGTGGAATGTGATGCCAGGTAGAGATCACTGCCCTTAGATGAGTCAAGCACCTTGAAGAAATAAAGGAATAACAGAGGGTACAAGTTTTGAAAAAGTGATGGGGAAATCCTTCCCTAGTTGGTGAAATTTTAGCAGAAATCTAAATGAAGTGACTATGAGACCTGACGAAAAAGCATTTCAGGCAAAAGAAACAATGAGTGCAAAGGGTTCAATGTTGGAATAGACTTTCCTGTTAAAAGAGCAAGAGGCCAATCGACTTGAGTGGCATGAACCGAGAGCAAAATGGTAGGATGAGGCTGGGGACCAGACAGTCTATGGTTGCACTAAATTGCAGTCAAGGGTACTTTTATATTCCATACTCCAGGGTCCTCACATTTGTCTACCTGCCCAACATGTAGCATCAAGAATACATATTGGCAGATCACTTTTGCCATGTCCAACTGCACGACATTTGTTTTAACATAGCAGTCTCTATTTGCCTTTTATTCAATTTCTACCAATCTCTATTTCCACTAAAATGTTCTTTCTGTCTTCTCTCATTCTCCTTTCAGTGGAGAGTACCAGACTACCATTATGTTCATTTCAATTGATAAAATTTTTTATTTGTTTTTGTTTCGCTAAAATGTTTCTTTTTTAGAAATTGGCACCACCGTGCACTTCAAGCAAAAAGGTATGGTTTTATTTCAAATTACCTTCTAAATGTTAAAATTAAGATTTCACAGGAATATATTGTGGTCTTATATACTTGAGTTTATTTCACTTCAGTAATTTGCAATAATAATTACCATAGCACATTTAGCACTGTTTTTTTTTTCCAAGTAGTAAGTTTTCTTCTTTACAAAAATTCCCTGGTCTAATCCATAACCCCTGTTTTGCTTTTGATACCCGTTCACTTTTAAATACCTGAGATCCAGCTAGTTATTCTATACCCTGCTCTCCCCTTGTCCCTTACTGTCCATGGTTAGCTCTTGCAGAGCTGACTTTTTTTTTTTTAATAATAGCTGCTTAATGACAAGTGCTCTTAGGAGAGACCCAAAGTCTATTTTACAGTCACCTGTCTGTTAGATATTCAAGTAAATATGTTGTTAAATATAACATCTAGATATCAAGTAGATATCCAGATATCTCTTAAAATGAAACACGTGAGCAGTGAATATTTCCTCCTCTCTCATCATTTTCCCAGGTCTTTATAAAGCCTCATGATGCTGCAGTACATCTGGGCTAGTGGGTCCTCCTACTGTCCCATGTCCACCAGCCATGTGACATATCATGCACATACTCATCTCTACAAGGACAGGGCAAGCAGATCAAAGCTGCATAAATGGATCCAAGATGCAAACAATTACCATGTCTGCAGTGCCCCCTACACAATGGATAATCCCCAAAAGTTTGTAACCCTAGACCAGAGCCACAGAGGCACGTATGTGGCCAGGCACCGCACTCCTTAAGTCCTGTGGTCACGCACTTGATTGGTAATTGTCTCCTAGGAAGGTGTCTCCTCTCTGAATCTCAAAAAGGAATGAGACAACCAAGATCACTTACAATAGAGAAATCATTCTTGCGGGCCCCAAGCCTTCTCAGCCTCTAGAAGCCACAGAGATTATAAGGGCTATGGTGCTTACTCCCACAAAAGGTCCAGCACCTTGTTTATGGCCAGTTCTAGCCTGTCCTCAAGAAGGCAGCAGGAAAGAGGCAGCCAGGAATATATACTAGGGAAGAGCATTATCTGAGGCAAGAAGGCACAAACTATTGTCTTCTTCTGCTCTTCTCTCCCCAGTGCTATGATTCCCAAATTACCACTCACATTTGAATCTTACTTGCCTAGTGCTGTTATGTGATACCTTAGGGCTTTGATGTGGATGATGACATAGGCATAGTATTTTTCTCATAATTTCAAAGATCATCAACATAAACTGCCAGCCAGGGGTGGTGGCACATGCCTATAATTTCAGCGGCTTGGGAGGCTGAGGCAGGAAGATTGGGTGTTCAAGGTCAGCCTCAGCAAAAGCGAGGGGCTAAGCAACTCAGTGAGACCCTGTCTCTAAATAAAATACAAAATAGGGCTGGGGATGTGGCTCAGTGGTTGAATGCCTCTGAGTTCAATCCCTGGTATGATATATATATATCATACCAGGGAGATATATATATATAAACTGCCAATGTCATCAGAAGTAGGACCTGAAAGTTTTTAAACTAAGTGTGCCATATATATGATGCCATTTTGATGGGAAAGATGTTATGATTCCATATTTACTATGAGACTAGTTCAGTCCACCAAAATCTTACTTTATAGAGGGTGGAGAAAGTGCATGAATGGTCCAGATTAAATCCTAAAACCCAGGGCTCAAAGGGAGAATCAGTATTTTCCTTCCTCTAATTTGCTCCACCCTGGTGATTATAGACTTTAATCCATAATTCAATCACCCAGGAGAAGTGGTACTGGCAGAAAATGGTCAGCAGGTGGCGCCAAAGTCCGTCTTCTCATTCTTCCCTATCAACATGGCTTCCCAGGACCCCAGCGTGCCTTAATTTGCACACCTAGATAATATCGAAGATCCATACTTGGGAGATTCTGTAGATTATTGCTCTCCTTCGTTTAACAATTGTTTTATAAGTTATTTAGACTTTTATTTTCAGTCACTTCATCAGCCCTTAACAGTTCTAAAAAGGATTCAAACTTAAACTCCTCAAACATTTTTTCTTCTAATATGGCTTCTTAAAATATATATATATACATATATATATACACACACACACACACACACACACACACACACATGAGAGTGTGTGTGTGTGTGTGTGTAGGAATAAAATATGCCTAATTCTGACTCCTTCATGGCTGAAAAGAATTCCCAAGGATCATTGATGGCATGATGAAGACCACTTTGAATAAATCTAGTCCTAAATCCAGGAAATGGGCCCTAAGGACTCAGAAGAAGCAACAGAAAACTGGTCCAATTTGAATTACAAAGTACCTACAAGCACACACACTACAAAACAGGTGGTGAAAAACCCACCCACCTGTCCTTTCTTTGAGATTTTGCTGAAAAACAAGACTCAGTATCCTACATCAGATTTGTAGTGTAGAGACTTGTCAAAAAAAAAATTCTCATAACCCCCAATTTTCGGATGTTTTATCAATCTTGCCCTGAATTACAAGTTTTGCCCTTTTTTAAGCATTGATGTGGCAAAGCCCAATCCAGTATTTATCTTGGCACAGTCTCACTTACCCTACCAGGTTGAGAATCTTGACCTAGTGTGTTGACTCACGGCTTACAGTGTTGCAGCTGAATTGTGGCCCTGATGGTCAAACATTAAAGCCTTGACCCCATTCACAAAACAATACCTTTCATTCAGGTTGGTATTTCATTCATTTTTGTAATCTGAACATCTGTGTCAATAATAATAATAATGTTACCATGTACTGAATATTTATCAGAAACCATACATTTCGTGTACATGCAAACATATAACACATATGTACAATGTGGTTAACTATCAAGACATGATATTTGTCTGTTATATGAAAAACATGTAGCAAGTTTTTATATTGTGGTTCTATTTGCCCATCTATTCTTAAGGCTAATTTATGTTTGCAGACTCTTGCTTTCATTATATCTGTCAGTATATGAAAGCACTTGCTGAGCCTGGCCATCTGGCATGGGAAATAAGATTTATCATTTGCATTTCTACAAATAAGCAGAAATTTTGTAACTATGAACTAAAACATAATTAATGATTTTGCTGATTATTCTTCCCTGAAATAGCCATTAACTGAAGTAGTCTCCTATGTAGTCATATATATCCATAATTGCATACGCACTTGTGATGATTCCCCAACTATCACGCACTTACCCTGGTATTTCTCAAGTCTGTTTACTCTCAAAATCAATTATGACAAGAGCAAGCCACATAAGCCATCAAATAGCTATATGAAGGCACTTAATGAATAATAATTGATAGAAATGAAGATACTTTAAACAAATTCACACAGTGCATTTCAAATATATAATGACATTATGAAGGATAAAATGAAAGATTATTAACATAGTCAAATTGGAATTTCCTATTATAATACAGAACAACATATGAAGGTAAAAAGTAATTATGTATTATATGTACTAAAAGACCAATAATATAAGTGTATATATAACTATAATGTAGATATTTCTCTGTGTGTATATATATATATAGATGTACATGTATGTATATATAGATTCATTAGTAAGAATGTTACTTGTGAGCATGCTTATTCAGATTGATAACTTGTTGAGAGTCTTGCTAAATTTGCTGAGGCTGGCCTCAAACTTTCAATGCTCCTACCTTGGTCTCCCACGCTGTAATTTTTGCTTTCTTAAACCATTTGAATAAAATGATGAGACTAGTCTTGTTAGCTTTCCCCAGATACCATTCAGTTCCCAGATGTCAGGAAAACAATTCAGCCTGACTTAACGCTACAAATTAGATTATGGAAATAAGCAAAAATGGACTTTTTCTGAAAACCCTTTTCACACTATCCCTGAGGCAAAACAGAAATTGCTTTTGCTTTACTCTGTAGGACCTTAATGTGTGTGTGGTTTTGGGTTTTGTTTTGTTTTGTTTTGTTTTTGTTTTGAAAGCCTCACTTATGCAACACTGCAAACAAATGTGCCAATAAGCTCATCTCACCCTGTGTATGCAGAGGGTTAAAACATTGCTACCAGGCCAGGAGCCTGGGGATTTTTCTTGAAGAAAGTTTGAATGTTCTCAAAGTCAGCAGGTATAGGGGGAAGGACATGGAGAAGGTGGATAGGGAAGGACAATGAGCTGAGCCTCAGGACACCTGGACTCCAGCACTAGTCCACAAATGCTAATCAGGTGCCTTATGCAGCATATATAATCTTGAACCTGAAATGGACCCTTTGATAATATGATCCCATAGCTAATCAGAAAATCAGAGAATTAGTTGGTTGATTAATTTGTTTTTATTGTGCCTTCATAGCTTTATATGTGATAAGCTCATTTTACATAGTACTTATGCTGTTCTAAGTTTATACATGTTCATATTTTTAAATAATATTCTCAATATTTTCAAGAAGGCATTTTAGCCAAAAATATTCTTTCAAAATCATTTTTGCAAAAAAAAAAAAAAAAAGGATGTTCCCCTTTAGTTTCTGTTTGCACTGGCTGTCATTTTAATCAAGCCCAAGTTTCATTTGTCAAATGTTTGACAGAGACTCACCAAGGTACGTGGCCATTGAGCTACACAGTGTCCTGGTGTCAGACAACACCTCGGAACCAGATGCAGGTTAGAAACCTCAGCTTCTCTGCTGACAAGTGGTATCAACTTTTACCATGGACTTAATCTCTCTCTGACTCCATTATTTCACTGGAAAGTGTGTTTTATTCTAACACCCACCCCATAGCACAGCTGTGTGCTTTTATTTATTAAGAATTTATAACAATACCTTGTAGTGAGTGCTGCATAATCATTTGCTGGGTTTGTTTTATTGCTATTGCTTTTATTATTTGCATAAAACATAGATTAAGAAACCATTCTTGAATTCAGCATTTTCCTGTTAGCCTACCTTCAATCTGGTATGTTTGTAAACAGTTTTGGGGAAATTCACATACCAGAAGATGCTTCCATTGCACTTGCAAATCACAGATTTACACACACACCACACACATTGATCTGCATATGTATCCTAAAAACTTCAAATTACAGTCATACCAGTTTCTTTTTTGAATATCATTGTCGAGCTATGTGGCTTTTAAAGCCAGTCTCTGCAGTGAAAATGTTTTTATTTCCTTTATTGGAATACAAACAGAACAACACAAAAGGAGAAGATGGACAAACAAAGCCCAGGAGACACACTCCTGAGTTGAACCCACAAATTCTGCCCCCATCCTATTCTTGCCACCAACACACAAACTCCTTCTCCTCCTTCCTCTCGTCCCGCTTTCCCCTCTCAGACCCACAGTCACATCTCCAGTTACACTCAGGTGGCAGCAGGGAATACAGCTGCCATGCCAGGCTCAATCCTGGGTGAGTTCAAATCAGTTGTGCTCCAGGTTTGAACCTGCCTCTAAATCCCCCAGGTTTGGGTGGGTTGTTTGTAGGTTTTGATTTTTAAAAGATCAGTGAAGAATCTGGGCAAGATGATCCCTGCTTCCATTCCTGCTTCCTCGTAAGATTATATAGTGTTTCTGCCTTGAGAAGGGGCCACCCATCCATAAAGTTTCTTGGTTATAATGTCCTTCCCAACTGACAAATAATTAATACTTCTCCCCCAATAAACAAGGGAGTCAGGGGCAGCTCCAGGTTTTATTGATGCTGTGAAAAATTGACAGGAACAGCCCACTCGGGCTGGTGAAGTACCCTCGTAGATGCATCACCTGGGGCAGAGCATGCAGAAGGAGGCTGGGTGAACAAGAGCCTGTAGCACCGCCAGACAGCAGTGACAGCCAGCTAGGGACTGCTTCAGCAGAAGCACTTTGTATGTAGAGGCAATTCAACAAATGATACCTCTTAACTTACTTGGACCTCAAGGAGGACAAGGATAAAGGAAAGGTTTTCAGCCCTTCCCGGCCTGCATGTAAGAGCACTGACGTTGTGGCCTCAGTCCTGGCCAGGCCTCACCTCCGACAACATCAACAGTCAGCTGTGACCTGGATTGGTCAGGATGTAACTTCTCTTTTCTCTCTCTCTCTCCTTTTATTGTTCTGCAGGACCTGGGTCGGTGAGAGGAATAAATGGATCCATCAGTCTGGCCGTACCACTGTGGCTGCTGGCAGCATCTCTGCTCTGCCTTCTCAGCAAATGTTAATAGAATAAAAATTTAAAAATAATTTAAAAAACACACAAACATGCGTCACACAGGATACAGAGAGAGAGAGTGGGAGAGAGAGCGCGCGCGATGGGGGGAGACTGTTTATTTCACAACTTTGTGTGTTTATAAATGAAGGGGGGAAATATGAAAATGAAGATGAAAATACAACATTGGAAACAATTTTAAAGTCCATCAATAAAAATTTGGTATGATCAGGGTGGGAAAAGCTCTACCAGGATGTGTGTATATCTACTAAGGAAATGAATGCCGTGCTAAGGACATCCAGATGTTGTAAAAACAGGACAAGTAAAGAAGTACCAGATGGAGACTGACTCCCCCACGCACACTTATCCTTCCTTCCTTCATCCTTCGTCATCTGTGGGGAAAAAAATAAGGTCTTGCCTTTGGTGTTATACTTCCATAACTTTCTATTGTGTTTTCCATTCAAGCTGACCTGTAGCCATTTCAGACTCTCCGTGGAGTCTTATGTTCAGCCTTTTATCAGACTCTCTTGCCTCCGCTATCTCTCCAACTTTTGAGATCATCCCCTCTCCCTCCAGAGTATTCTATCTCCCATGCTCATTCCAAATAGTCCCTTTTTGCCCACCCACCCCAACTCTCTTCACCCCCTCCAATCCCCCCTGAGCACCAATCACGCCGCAAATGCTAGGAAGTGCCATTTTAATTTTCTCCACTGTGTGCGTGTTGCTCAAGTCTCTCCCTCTCACGTGGGTGTACATGTGTGTGAGCGTGTGTGTGTCTCTCTCTAAAGCATGCCAAGGGAATGGTCCATGTGTACATAGACTCATCGTGCTGTAGATACTGTCCTGCATTGTAATTGTGAGATGCGGCTGTAACCAGTTGCTGGGGGAGATGGCAGGGAGGGAGGCAAGGAGCAGAGGCCCTCCCCAGTCCACGCCTGTCACATGACATCAGTGTGTATTCAAACCAAGCTGTGCCCCTTCCAAGGGCAGGACCCCATATTCCTCCCAATCCCATCATCAGAACCTAGTCAGGAGTCACTCAGAATATCACTGTAAATGAAAGTGCCTACCATTGATGGGGTGAGCAAACAGTGGGAAAAAAACAATTAGTGATGGGGATGAAATGGCCTAGGAGAGAAGGTTTCTGATTTCACTCTTATTGCATAAGTTTGAGGGTTTCAGATGTTTTCCAGTGTTTAACAGGCTGAGCCCTGCTCTGCTGCAGGGCTGAGCAACATATATTGAGCAAATCCCCAGAAACAGAAAGGTCTCAAGTGTTATCTCCTATCTGGAGAATGATAAGCCACATGGAGATCCTAAGCAATCCTGTTTTGCCTCCTCCCTAACCTTCAAATAACACTGCATTTGCCCCATGGATCCCCCTGAGCAGAGATTGTTTCCTCTTTCAGATCAATACAGTGAGAGTGAGCAAAATAGGCAAAGTAGACAGATGCCCAAGTCCCATCCCATGTTCTGAAGATACTGTCAGAACATTAAGAAAAAGCATCGGCTATACCAAAAGGGAATTCACTCCTTAAGATCCTTTGCAGATTTTTGTTCTGATGTTCTTGGCTAACTCTTGATTTGGCCATGCATGTCATCCCCCTGCTGCTGTTCTACTGATATCTGTAGGACCACACTTTTTTTTTTTTTTTTTGGTACCAAGGATTGAACCCAGAGACACTTAACCCTGAGCCACATCCCCAGCCCTTTTATTATATTTTATTTAGAGACAGGGTCTCACTGAGTTGCTGAGGCTGGCTTTGAACCCCCAATCCTCCTGCATCAGTGTCCCAAGCCGCTGGGATTACAGGTGTGTGCCACTGTGCCTGGCTGTAGCACCACTCTTCTTGATGATTCATCATTATCCTAGACCAGACCACTAGAAATTGCATTATATTCACCTTTCCTGCTCTATTTAAATTTATGTCTCTGAGAATCATCTTGATATTCACACTGAAATAAGAGCTCATTCCTTCACCAGAAGATCTGAGCAACTTGTAATTAATTTAGGCAGAAATTGTCTGAATACCACAAAGCTTGGCATTACCGCATCACCATAGATCTTACAGGGAGAGCTGGCACTCTGCATATAGACTTCTTTGTCTACATGAAACCAACTGCTGCTCTGTTAGACTACAGGATGTACTGGAAATGGTCAGCTCATGACGGGGAAGAGGATTATTGTTGAGGTCATTATTGAAAGTAATTTCACAGAACAAATGTGGCAGCTCATCAAGTTTTCAAATCTTGATAATAGCTGAGACATGATATTAAATGAAAAACTTTATTAGCAGAAAGAGGAAGGAAGGAAAGAGAGAAGTAGGAGAGAGATGGAAGGAAGAAAAGAAGGGAGGGAGGGGCAGATCTGAGAAGTATTTAAAAATCTCTTCTAGGTGGTTCTATGGTTTGTTTTGGATGCATATCACATTCTTCTTTTAGGATTTTGCTGTTTAGAATTGAAAACAGAGGACAAATTTGACATGGCAGTAAGAGTACTTATGGCAGATCATGAGATAGGGCAGAAATTCTTATCCAAGAAGGCAGCTAGTCAAACACAGGGAAAGCGAGCCATACTCCTATGCAGCATCAATTTATTGACAATCAGGGATTTCTCTAACAGTTTGGTCTTCTTTGTACAGGAACAAAGGTTATTATTACCTTTGATGGTTGAAGAAGCTGTCATACCCTTAAGTAGAAACCAAGAGAGCACATGGTGATTTAAAGATACAGGAAGATAAAAAGAGCAGGAATTGATTTCAGTACCATTCATTATCAGTTTCAGGAACAGAGCCTGTGGCATGTTACAAGCTTTAATGCACAGCAGGCCTTTTTACTGTTTCTATCTTATCATAAGGACCAGGTTAGTGGAAGGAGCATGTCCATTGGAAGAAATGTCTTGGCCATTGCTCTCTTGGTTTTTACATGGTGGACCATAAATTAAACATACATTTTCAAAATATGGTATTTGCCCATATCTAGCAGGATCTGGGATTTGAAAAAAAATTTTCTACTTGCTCCTCTTTCATCACTGGCCCTAGAAATCTCATAAGTTTAAGAATTTCTCTAAGTAATGTGGGGAATGGAGGGAAAGATAGCTTGGAGAAAGGTCTCAACAGAAGACTTCTTGGAATTGAGTTCATCATATTGCCATAACTTCTACCCCCAGCCCGCAGCATCTTGTCCTTTGATAATCAAAGCACTGAAAAACACCAACTATTTGGAAATACCATATTGAGAGAAGTGGAAAGCATCTAATAATGTTAATGGCCAATACGTTTTGCATGCTTTTCATACAAAGTGAAACTCTACCATTCACAAAGTAAGATCCTTAGCCCCAACTTTCAGTGATGTGGATATTACCTTGACCCAGGGACTTCTTGAAGGATGAGAACTAGCCTAGGTTTCACAACTGCAGAATTGTAAATTAGACTCTGTTCAATTCTTCATCAAGAGGCCTTGCTTTATTGGAGGACTTTTTTGTTTTTGTTTGTTTAAGATATAAAATCCCTCTGTCCTAAAAGAACTAAGGCATATGGAAAAGTGGATGTGTTTTCTGTTGGGAAGGATTGTTCTATTGGCCTTTTCCAGAAGAATTCTTGAACTTGAACTCTCCCTTACTATGGGCTTTTTAAATTATTATTATTATGTGATCAGACAACTGGGGCTATTTATAGAGACCTTGTAAAAGTACTCGTGATTTTCATGTTCTTGGAGGGCAGAAACAAAAATCTGTTTCACCTCCAAAAATGGACTTACCTCCTTTGCACATAAAGACAAAACTCCTCAGCATGAAATGATTTGAGTTGTTACCCACCAAGTTGTTAACCTTCTTATCTAGAGTTGCAGGCACAACCCTGAACTGATTAGGGCTCCACCATTTCTCTGGGCTTGTCTCCCTGAATTCCTCATTTTGTTCTTTGCAGGCTTTGAATTATTTGTGGAAAAATAATATATGTGTGTATGTATTTTTTTTAATCTTATCTTTACAGATGCTATATTTACAATAATGTATGTATTATAAGAAAAATTTAGAATAACAGCTTAAACTTAAAAGAAGAAAGTGCAGAATTTGGTTTATTTAAAGAAAAAAATAGCTATGTTTCATAAGGAAAGACATGGAGCCCCATTTTTTCCCACTTTTAAATTGTTTGCTGACAGATCAAATACTATGGGAATAACCAGGTCCTCATTTTTTTTTTCTTCATCTTCGTAAGCTTTTAGCCTGGATTGAGTCTTGGTCCCCAGTAAGTATCAATTTCTACAGCGAGTATAATGCTGTAACTGGCCTAAAAACTATTAAACATTTGAAGACAAATTAGCAGACCACAAAAATAGTGAGATAAGACCCTGAGTTAAGAAGCACAAATCTAGTTTAGGAAACCCCATTCTTTCTTCAGTATTTAAAATATTTCTCCTCCAAAGACCAATTGCCCCTGTAATGTAAATTTTCCATCATGGTTGGCACCCTATCCATAAACATCTCACTAAATGCAAAATGGAGTTTACATTTATGTGCATACTAGTGGAGGAGAAGTAAACTATTCTCATTTGCATTTAGCTATGCTGTTCAAATGTCGCCAACTGAAATTCAAAAAAGAATTTGTTTTCACCAGGCAAAGTACATCACTTTCCTCTTGGCAAGGAAGCTGGTGTTAACATTAGGTTTAGGTTTAACATTTACACCAGCGAAATGTTTATGGATATTGTGGGAAACGTATTTTAAAATCTTGATTTCTTTTCAGCGCATTTACATACTGTGTGCTGATTAATAAATTAGGGACCAATCATGTGTAAATCAATGTAAATCACTAGTTTATGTACATAATACAAACGATGTAAACTTCATTTTTCATGCAGAGGCCAAGTTCAGTTAAACCCATAAATCTTAAAGGAAAAAAAAATCAAATAAAGTAAAAGCAAAGCATGTCACAGGTCAAAATGGGAAGAAGGAGGAACAGAATGCCCAAACGCAAGGTTGTCTCAGCCAAAGAAAGTAGAGGACAGGGGCACCTACAGGTTTCCATGACGATGCAGTCACAGTTAAGGGTTACCTCCTTGTTCCTTCAAGACATAAGTGCAGATTCTCCCAGCTGCAGCTGTCACCATCATTTTCTCACGGGATCCCCCAGCAAGGGAGTAAAGAGTAAGAGAGTGTTTGGGGGCTCCTGTGCCTATTCCATCAGCTCTCAGGCATCTGGTTATTTCTCCCTCACCCCAAATCCAAGGAAGTCAGCCATACCTTGGTGAGCACAATACTACCCAGTTTCTGTTACCCACTCAACAAAAGCATTGGGAAAGCTTCTCCGTCATCTGAATTCTAATAAATTGTTAGGTAGAAGAAATAGGTGACATCCTTGAGAAATATCTCGCTGAGTCATCTTCGAAAAAATAACTGCCTTTGCTTTATCTAATACTCTTGTGTTCCAACACATCTATACTGAATTCTACAAATAAGAAACAGAATCACTTCATTTTGAAGTTTCTCTCTCAGGCATTATCTCTTACAGGCTTTCTGATGTGCCTGATGTGTTTAACAGAATTATATATATATATATAATATCCCTGTCCTATAATCTGAACAATTGGTAGATTACAGGTCTAAAAAAAAAAAAAAAAAAAAATATGACTTCAGGAACCACATGAATGTTCTACCAGGACTGTTCTTGAAAGAAATTTAGGTCACATTAACATGAGACTTAAAGTGCTCTCCGCCACCTAAGATAAGTGATAACTTGAACGTGGAGGTGTATTGGATTGGGAGTCAGGAAAATTGGGCTGTAAACCGAGGCCTAGTCATAAAAGAGCTGTATGACACTAGCAAGCCTTTTAACTTTCCTGAATCTTGGTCTTCTCACCCTGAAAGTGAGGTATTTGAATGACATCTTTAGAATCCCTTTTGCCTCTAAACTTGGATCCTGAATAAGAATTTAATACTCAGTGCTGTGCTCACCTAACCGTTCATTCTAAGCTGCTGTTTGTCATCTCCAGTTTGATCTCATAACCTTCATCCTAGCAACTCCATTTCAAAATCTAAAACTTTCTAGGGAACAGGGTCTCGGGACTGACTCTATAATTCTCTTCTGACCAAAACTTCTTAGTAATCTAGAGAGGTGATATATTCAGAATAAACTGAGGGCTTTGAAATAGCTAGGGCTGTTTCCTTGTTTATAATATTATAAAATCTAACTGTTGAACTATATCCTAATGACCTTTCATAGGAAGGAAAATAGCCAGATTGGGCATTATGCATGTAACAAATGAGGAAGTTGTGCATATGAAAGGAAACATCGGTTTTCTTTCATCCTGGGCCAAGCGCCTCATTATAGTAAATGTGTGTCCTTGGAAACTCTTGGCTTGTGCTGATGGCAGTAAGCATGTGGTCTGAGGCAAGTTCAATAGGCTGGTCTGTGAGAAACAGACAAGACAATACATTTTGTTTGGGAGAGAATTTCTCATGGGATGAGTTTCCTGAACTTGAGTTACAAGCTGTGAAATCAGGCAGGTGGATGGAGAGCAAAAGGCCTTGTTTTTTAAAAAGTGCAGGTCTGTGCTGTTTAAAGAAGATAACCTGAAAATAAGACCAAAATAAACACATTTTGAAAGGCCACGGTTGAAGACACAAAAAGCTGTCGTAAAAGCTGAAATCAAATGTGAAAGTCAAGCTCTCTGCGAAGAGGTTTTACAGGAAGGATGGTTTTTGAGGCAGTGAAGGAGGAATTATTTTCTTGTGCCATGTTGTGGGGTGGACTGAGCATAGCCTCACTTATCCCAAGCTATCCTAGACGCTCAGTTTAGCATCTGTCCAAAGCAATCTTTTCATTTAATGCCTGAAAGAACTGAAGGAATTTGAGTGTCCAGGCACTGAAGAGCAGGATTTATTCATGATTTTCCAAGTGATGCACTAACATCACTTGGTGTAGCTAAGGGTGGACCAGGGCTTAAGGTACTCATGACGCTCTCTTGAAGTGGGAATAACCCCCATCCCCCACCCCTGCTCCCATCCCTTGGCCCACAGGACAACTTCCCATTTCCACAGTTATGTCACAGTTACCTCTTTTGGGTGGTGCTCCTGAATCCACTCCTACAGCTACATTCTTCTTTGAATAAGCCCTCTCTATGTAAAGCCAGGCACAGTAAAAATCTGCTTCTTGCAAATGAAGAAAACATTTGGAACCACTAGCTTCAGGCACTGATCCCAGGATATTAGGAGTCTTTTATGAACCCACTTCCCTAAGTCTTGAGAATGTGAATGGTTTCTTCCTGGCAAGTTGTGGCCAAGTTCTGCTCCCTAAGTATTTACCGGGAGTGAGGAGGCTGAAGGGAGGAGGTTGCAGGGGGAGAGAAGCAGAGGACACCTCCAGCCTCTTCTCCCCACCCTGCTTCATCCTTTCCTTCTCTCTGCTCTCCTGAAGGGTGTAAAAATCCTGCTCTTGGTTAGAATTCTCCTTATTAACAGTGTTATATACATATAAATATATATATATAAATATATTCCTTTTTTCAGCCCTGTAGACATGAACTGATATTCCCTTGATGATACAAACACATGGCCATTTTTTGGTTTGGGTTTTTTGTTGCTCAAGGTATTTTATTTTTGTTTATTGGGTGGATTTTTTTCCCTGGATACTAGCTCTGTGAAGGAAAATAAAAAGCGCAGTTGTGTGTTAAAAAAAAAATTAAAATTAAAAAAAGCTTTTTTTTTCTTTTCTTTTTAAATGTATTTAAATTCTGTTTCTCTCTTCTGTTACTTTACACGTATGAATGCTCTGCTCTTCTGTGAACTTAAAACAAAATGAAATAAACGTGAAAAGGAGATGTGTCTGCATTGGCCTGTGTCAGTGATCTTGGGGTTGGCTACACTGCTTCTTGAAAGTTTTTCATGAGCAAGTTAGGAAATGATATTGAGCATCTCGTCAGGGAGGGGTAAACAAAATACTGAAAAATCACTTGGAGGCTTTCTAACATTTCTTCTACCCAGAAGTAAACACACTATTTACAATAATTGTCTTCAGCTCAGCAAAGATATTCTCTGAATTCCCCCTTTTCCCTCTTCCTTAAGAGATTATAACAAATTACCACAGGGAAGCTTCATTAAAACATTAAAGAAGTTTGTGAGTGAGACTTTGACTGAGAACTTGGAATATGAAATCCAGCAACAACAAAACATTAGGGAGTACAACCTTTCTTTAAAGTATCCATTACAGGAGTCATTGTTAAGGTTTAGCTTTTTTTTTTTTCCAACTTTTTTTATTGGTGCATGCATACTGATGGGATTTGTTGTTACATAATTGTACATGCTCACAATACATAATATAACAATATAATTTAAGGGTTAGTTTTAATGAGCTCCTATGTGATAGTGGCAGGAGGAATTAATTTACCTCCATAAACCACTTATTATTTCTACTTGTAAAAAAAAGTTTGTTTTCTACTCTTGCTGTGAGCTACTATCTTCACATGATGTTTCTAGAATCTTCATAGAATCCCTATAGCATTAGACAGGACCGATAGGAGATGGCAAGAGAAAACAAGAAACAAGCAATCTATGTTTGAAAGAGGTGAGGTTTTGGCTAATTGTATATTAGAAGAGACTGATATACAATATACTCCTCCAAATCAAAGCAAGTCTGAAACACCTCTAAGAGAATGGATCTCAATTTGAGGTGATGGGGAGGAGGGAAGGGAGGAATCGTACTCAGCTTCCATAAGGAGAAAAGCATCTCAAAAGCAAACTGTCCCTGTGGTTCAAAGAGACAGATGAAGAGCCCAGTCTCCCCACTTTTGAATTTTATTAAAAAATTTGAAAATGCCTTTCTGTAACATGGTTACCGGACTCAGACTCAAGGTAAAAATCACAATCATCAAACAAAACTGCCCTCACTTCGGACACCAGCTGCATTTCTGGATTAGATAAACCAGCTGACTACAAACTCAAAGTTTCTTACTACCCCTGCAGGTTCAGGAGTTTGCTAGAATGACACCGAACTAAGGAAAGTAGTATACTTAGAATTTTAATTCTAGTACAGCAAAAAACAAAACTCATTAGAAGCAGTCAATGGGAAAAACTCACAGGCGAGGTCAGGGAGAGTTACAAATGGGACGTTTCCATTGTCTTCTCCCCAGGGAGTTAGGACACAAGTCCTACTAGCACTCTAATGTGTGATATCAGTGTATTGTTAACTAGGAAAGTTGTTGTTCAAGGCTTCTTTTTAAACCTTATAGAGGCATGACAGAATGAATCAGCCACATGCTTGAATATAATCTCCAACTCCTCTCCTTTGCTCAGAGGTTAGGAAGACATCATGAGATTCAAAGCCCCAATCTGCTAATCACTTGGGCCAACTTTCTAGTGCTGCCAGCCACCATCCTGAGTCATAAACTACCTAGGGGCACACCACGAGTCTGCTCTTAAACATCAATTATCAGGTGTCCAACATGAATAACAGAGGAACAGCTATCTCTTGGAAAATTTCAGAGAATTAGAGTTAATTTGCTTGTGAACAAAAGCCAACCAAAATCTTTATGATGTATTTTTCATTACCAAAAAAAAAAAAAAGAAAAAAATTGAAACCTCTTTCCAGATGGCCTGAGATTTCATTTCCTTAAAGTCACAGTAGACCCAGGATTAGAAAGTCAGCACATCCTTGGGCTTCCCTATCAATAGTGCTTCACAATAAATTTTCTATTACATCCCCATTTTCTACTCCCTTTACATCTCTCTCTATTAAAGTATGTCTGAAGCAGCTTGTGAAGACTGAAAATGAGGTGAGTCTTTGACTCTAATTTGTTATGGAAGGAACCTGTTTTTTTTCCACCTTTGTGATTCTTTTGGAGCTAGCACAGGGCATACCACATGCTTAGCCAACATTTGTCACAATAAAATTGAGTTGTGTTCAATTTCTCCAATGAATCTACTGGATGTGGAATTCTTACCTATCAATCACTCTGATTTTACCATAGTTATGGAGGATTTCTGAAGCCAAGCCTGTGAAACAAAAAGATGGATCCTTGCCTCACATTAAAAAAAAGAAGAAAGAAAAAAGAAAAAAAAAATGATCTGAAAACTGTCACTCAAACATGAAAGACTTAACTTAGTGGCCTGGAAGCCCAAGACTGGTGTATTAATGGTCATGGATAGGAAAAGACCTCTTCAATTTCCTTTTTGAAGTCTTCTTTTCTACTTTTTACACTAGCTACTGGCCAACTGGCAAAACATTTTATCTGTGTCCTAGCCTTTGTCCAGGATTTCTTGTGAACCCTGGGTACTATTTCTGAGGACACACATTGGAAGAGAACATCTAACTTAATCTGATTTTATAGATGTAGCTGTTCTCCATGAGGAGGCTCTGCTGACTAGTCATTTGCTTTCAGAATAAAACTTCAGTTTTTATTCTACAAGACCATAAAATTTTGACCAACTATGCCATCTTTACTTTGCAACATTCTACCTGCTTTTTTCCCTATCTAATTTCCTCATCCCCAGATCAAATAAGAAATCCACTAATTGTATAGTTCTTTAGGTTCTGTCCCCCAACTACCACCACCAAAAAAAAAAAAAAAAAAAAAAGTTCGAATTAGTGGTAGCAAACACAGGAGGCAGACCCTGATCAGAAACTCAAGAATGGAGAAAAATACTACTCAGGTTAAGTTACGACTCTGAGCAATTCCAGTTTGAGTCATCAGAATCTGTCAGGCAATTGTCACTAGAAAATCTTCTGTAACCACAAGTTCCATCCAGAAACTATGTACACTCCAAATCCCTAGCATATGAACAAACTTCCCAGTTCTTTCATTATATTATGACTTTTAGACAACTAGCCCAAACTACACTAGAGAGTTTTCCTCCTTAATCTTAATATACAAACCCATAGCCTTTACTAGCAATCAGGAGATTGTAGAGTCTTCAGGTAGCATTAATATTTGAGCAAATCCTCAAAGGAAAGCTAAGCAAACAAAAGTAAAATTCCCAGAATCAGGAGGATTCACCAGGGAAAATGACTGAGAACTTTTTCTAGATGGAGATGTTTCCTAAGTGCAAAATAGTTGCATTGTTCACTTAGCAAAATTCCTTATAAATATGCTTCCCAGGTCTGGTCAGCCTCTCCCCATTAAGCCCTTCCTCAGCCCCAGCCAGTCAACTATCCTCAACCTATCAGCAGGGATAAGTGAGTCATGTAGCCCAGCCAAGAAACACATGAGTCAAGAAAAGGTATGGGTTATATCCATTAAATACACAGGGATCTGCCAAGATGCCAAGTCCCTTCTGTCTACCCTGCAGTTTCACCATGCACACATGTTCTAGAGAATCTGTCTCGGAGTATAACTTGTGGTACAAACAAGAAAAGCACAAGACTCTTACTATGCATCTATTAATACTTTGTGTTACGAGTTCCATCTTCCAAGTGAGAACCCACGTCTAAGTCAGTGTTCTTGTTCTGGAAGAAGATTTCTTATTCCTAAATAGCAACATCTTGGTACTTTTCTCTTTTTAATTCGAATTTGTGGTAGAATAATATTACTATCAGGAAAACAATAGATTTGCTTATGAACTAGTTGGACTCTCAGGTATCCTAATTGCCCACTTCTATCTCACATACTAAATAATTGTGAATAAAAAAAAAAGATAAAAAAATAAGAGAGTTAGTCTTCAAGTATGGTTAGGGTTAATATTGTAGGCCTACAGTTCCTGGGCTGCTGTGCACAGAAATTAGATCTGCTTTCACGGTTTGAAGCACCATACATAGGCAATAGGCTCCTCATCTTCCCAAAGACCTTTTGAAAATAAGCAGAGGTTAAAACAAAAATTCCTGGTGGTTGCAATTAGTTTTCATTACCATTTTAAATGGTTATTTTTAATGGTACATTTAACTAAAGCTAACTTATCCATGAGAAGAGAATGTGGCCATTAAGATCAGCATCTGTTGAACAAACTGAGGCTCTACACTCGGTGATGCATGATTCCAACACCAAGAATACTGCATGCAAACAGCAGACTCATTAGCATTAATTGCTGCATTTAGTCCCACTTAAAACCTCCTGTATCTGGAACAGTTGCTGAATACATTATCCTTTTGGCAAAAAAATACACCCTAAAATATTATCATGTACTTAACGATAGAACTAATTCAAGGTGTGCTTGTATGTACAGAGATGAGGACTAAAGAAAGTATTGCTGATAACCCTGTACTGACAATTTGATGCTGGAAAAGCACCACTTGTTGGCAAAGTGTGAAATTCAGCTTAAAAAAGGAGGGTTGACCAGAAAAGTGTGAGGTAGATGAGGATGTAAGGTCAGATATAAGGTTGCTATGTGGTAGTGAACAAGATGATCTACCTGAGCAGTGAAAAGACTTTGGAGAGGTGTGACTATGGAGCTGCAAATCTCTGAGCTGGTGTCAAATCCCCAGGAAGAAAAGCCTAGGGCTGGGCACCCGGCTGAGCCACTTGCTTCCTCAGGGCAAGCTCCAGGCCTCTGGTCTTCTGGACTCACACAGACCTTAACAAAGATGGGTAAGTCAGTCCTTTCATGATGCAAATAAAATACTTTAATAACACTTTCATGGTGCTGCCCTTGGCTCAAACAGATTTGCCTGGAGCCAGATCTAGGTAAAAACATGGAGCTAATAACACACTCTATGTATGGAAAAGGCAACTACTAGAAGCCCTCTGCCATATGCAATATCCTAATCCCTCCTTTTCCATTTATTTTATTTTATATTTTGAAGATATGGGGATTGAACTCAGAGGTGTTCTACCACTGAATTACACACCCAGCCTTTTTAAATTGTACTTTGAGGCAGGATCTTGCTAAATTGCCAA